TTGTCAGTGTGCTTTCATCTCTATATGGTCTCTTTTTTGGTTTGCCTTTCTTTACATCTGACATCGTTAAGCCTTCATATTCTGTTAAATCATACATCTTTATTTCGGTAAGATTCTTTATGTTTGTCAAGAAGAAGTCATAGTGCATTTCAACAATACCTGCAGCATTTGCTTCTATCTCTGATATAAAGTTCTCCTTCAAGAGCTGATGTAGTAATGTTCCAATATTATTGAGGTTTAACGTAGAACATTCATACTTTCCACCAAGTTTATAACATACCATCCATCTCTGTTGCGAGTTTATTTTAATTTTCTCTAAGAGTCTCATGAAAACCTTACCGAAATGTTTGTGTAAGTAGTCTCTGTTTGGTTCATCTAAAGCTTCGATGTTAAAGTCAATGAGTCTATTGCCTGACTTCACATTTCTCTTCCTATTCTCTTCATCTTTCTTTAACCATCTCTCACCTTCTTTTGGTTTGTCGTCAATGGAACGAATGACATCGTTAGCTTTGCGAACTTGTTCTATAGCACTTTTAAACATCTCTCTTCTCTGTTGTTTCAGTGTGTCATCTCTCTTTCGTGTTTCACCAACGTTTGCATTTGTTATGTCAAACATCTCTCTTCTTACTTCATGAGGTACAGCTCTTCTTGTTTCACCAACGTTTGCATTTGTTATGTCAAACATCTCTCTTCTTACTTCATGAGGTACTGAACGTCTATGATATAAGTCAATAGCAATGTCATTTAAAGGAAATGCTCTTGCATGGACTTCGTCCTCGCCGCGTTGCGGCTTTATGAACTCATGAATTCTATCATAACTTATTGCACCATTATAGTCTTTAATGAAGTCAGCGAGTGCTTTTTTGTTTGTTGCGTAATGCTTTGCAACATCTATATTAGCTTCTGTAAGAAGTTGTTTTATTTCCGAGTGTTCTAACTTAGACAACTTCCGATACATCTTTAGTAGGAAATAAAAAAATATTTTTGAAAAAATTAGATTAGATTTTTTTTAAGTTATTTTTCAAAATAATTTAATATTTTTATTTTAATGAAACACATGCAAGATTGCAAGTTCTTTTCATACAATGCTCTCGCTACTGCCATCAAGAATGAGTTCAATAATGCTTCAAACGTTAATGTTATCTTTAACAAGAAGTTTGTGAAAGAATCTAAGTTTGGTCA